ACCAAAAGAACTAGCTTTTTTTGCAATTGGAGGCGTTCTGAGAATACATTCCTTTCGATTTTTTTTTCCTTGTTGTACCCTAGTCCAGGAAAAGAGAACCCAAATTTATGAAAAGGGAGTGGAGCTGATTCTTCAGGGAGATAGCATATTATCTTCCAAGGCTGTCTGCAGGCCAGAGACATGAACAGAGCTAAACTGACAGTAAAATTAGCCAGTTGTATGAATTGTCATTCCTTATAATATATAAATAAACTCTCACTTTTTAAAACAGGCTCTCTAATGAGGGAAACACTCTTTGATACATTTTTGTAGCTAAGGATATTAAGGCAGAACAGGGAAAGGCAAATTCCTGAATCTGAACCATCACAATGATTAAGACTTCATAATGTAAAGAAGTAAAGCACTGTCATTTATTCTGCCATGGACCCTACATGTTGCTTTGTTATCACCTAGGATCAGGACATCTTACCGAGTCAACACATTTTACGGCAGGAACACCAAATGACCTAGGTCTCTCATTTTTATTTTTAAATAATAGGAAACATGGAATTTATAAACACTGCCCAAAAATTCCCAAATGATTCTTGTTCAAATTCCAAAATCTCTAGTGCCAATGGTTACACTGAGCATTATGCATAACCCTTGCAAGTCTCTCCCTGCAATCTTTTGCAGAACTCTACTAAGTTGTTCTAGATAGGTTCCATGATTGTACTTCTGATCTGGATGATCTCCATCAGTTTTCATTTTTTCCTTGCCCGCAGGCTACATGTAAATCGTGCTCCTAATATTCTGTATTTCTTTGTTAGACATTCATGGCTATTTGTTGCAGCTAAATGTGATATATATTTGAATGACAAGTGAGACTGTCTTGAAAGACTGGTTTGAATCCATATCCTTTCCTGCCTATCTATAGAATATACTGTTTTTCTATGAAGTGTTCATATTTACTAAACTAATATCTTAGAAAAAATTAACAAGCTCACTTTCCACTGAGCTATAGTTCTAGCTTAAAAGCAAATTAATCTAGAAGGCATTAAGCAGTTTAAAGCTGGTATGTAAACTTCTTACCAAGCTATTGACTATCTTTTTAAGTACTGGTTTATATAAAAACCCTTTGGCCCTCACATGTGTCTGAGATTTGTAGTTGTGAAAGTTCACAGGTGTGTGAATATTGGAGCTATTCATTATTATATCCAAACATGTTTGTTCTACTTTAATCACAATGTAATTGGCTTTCAAATTATGATACGTGTCTTCTGGAAGCACAGTAAAAGTGGAAAACAGGTACTTAATTAGATCATCCTAATTGAATGTAGAATGAAAAAAAAAAAATCTCACAGAAAAATGTGTGAGGGCATTCATAACGGAAAAAAGCACAATTATTTGAGGTATAGAAGTGAGGTATTTGGAATTCCTACCAGCAAGAAACTAAATTAGTAATTGATACTGTTATTTCTCAAATGCACAGTGATAATTAATGTAAGATGATAAAAGACATTTCAAAATAAAAAGGAATAAAAAAGATTTTTTAACAAAGAATAAGCCAAAATAATGAGCCAAAGATTAAGAAATAACATCCCACCTTGTAACTGAGCTGTATTTCATAAATTACCTAAAAAGGCAGCAACATCAAACGATATATTTGTGATGGTTTTGCTGCTAACAATTACTCTGCTGTACATATGAACAATATTCAGGGCAAAAGAAAATTTTGCCTGTTGCAACACACAGTAATTAGCAGGTTAGTTGAATACAATTAAACCATATTAAAGACCATTCCTGACAAGTAATTTCCTGTCTCAACCTGCAAAATACATAGCATAATCAGTTTCACATCAAACCACTGTATTATGGAGCACCAATTAGAATGAAATCATTAATGATACAATGGTATCAGGATCGGTCCACTTTTCATAATAAGGATTGTGAATAGAAATTAAAAGAAAACAATGTGGAATATTTTTCAAGTGAATTTGAAAAGGCTGAAAGAATAAAAAAATAAGGAACTTATTTTTTCATTAAGCATCAGATGTTATTGAGACATGTTGGTTGTGTGTCAGCTATTGAAATAAGATCACACTGTGAAAGTAAAAATGCCCATACAAAAAGCATAGTTCAATTAAGCACTGTCCACACAAATCAGTGAGAGAAGGTCATACTTTAGCGACATGCAGGAGTGCTGTAAAGATCCTAATGCCAAGATTGGTGAGAGGAATGCAGTGAATTTATGATACCCTAATTTGACGATTCTCAGTTCTCAGAAATTAATGTCTATAGGACAGTGTCAGAACATGTGGGGTAAATGAGGCTACCTGTTAAAAATGTGCCACAAAAAGATGGAAAAAAATGTTTGTTTTTTCAAGTTATTTTGGGAGGAATGATGGAGACCTAAATCCAATTTCCAGAAAACTTACATTGTGTGGCACATGAGAAAGACATTGACTTTCTCCTCTGGAATTGTAATTGAATTTCAAAGTGTTCCTATTATCTAGATGAACAAGTATTTGAAAATCAAAGTTTAGTCTATGCAAAAGTAAACCCATTCAAAAGATAATAGCATGCATATAACTTGCATAGTAATGCTACTGAGAAAGGAGCAAAAGACACGAGAGTCACAGAGCAAATGCCCTGTGTATAGCTAGGTGCAAGCTCTCATACCAGCCAGATTACAAAAACTGCAAACATGAGCTTGTTTCTGTTATTTAAGACATGTAATAGGACCAGCTGGACAATCATTTATCACAGGAAAATAATCTTTTTTGTCACGTTGCAAAACCTGAGATCTTTACCAAGTGTTTAGACAATCTCAATTGTAAATTAACAGGTGTATACACACATTCAGTAAGCTTTTGGCATGTCTGCGTGGCACATACAGCAGTGAAAAATTATTTTTCATTAATTCTATTTGTTCCTCTTCTGGAACAAAAATTTTCTATACAAATAGGTAGGTACCCAATACAACTCACAAAAGCAAATCTAGTTTAGAATTTTAAGAGCTTTTAATTTTACAGGTAAGGCATCATCTTTTATGAAATCATTAGGTTTTCAGAGTAATTGTTGAAGAGCTGTATCATCTCCATGTTAGAAATTCTTTAAAGATTTCCTTGCAACTGTAACTTGTATTATCCCTGAAGTACTTAATTAGATAAAAAATATTGATTTTTTTCCTAGCTGAGATTTGAGACCAGTAACCAGAATTATCATCACAAAGTCAAATTAGTCCAGAGAATCAGAAATTACGAGTGCATGAGAATAGCTTGAAACTAAGATATGGAATAACAAAAGGTTGGATAAAATGTTCATAACCACAGTGATGGAAAATTATCACAGGATTCTTAAAACCAATTAAAACTCTCATTTGCTTTTCTAAACTTTTATTTTGCCTTGATCTGGACTGAAGGGGAAATTCTCCTACCTTAATGAAAAGCTTTTTCTAGAAGGGAGATCCTGTACTTCTGGTTCTTCTGCTATCTTTTAAGAGATACTACTGTCTTTGGGGCTTTCAGCCCCAGTGTGGTTACTGTACACACAATGACCCTTCCCTAGTGAGCTCAAGTTGCCAGAGCCCCATTCTGTACTTCACAGAATGCAATGTGTTACCACTAGTCAGTACTCAAATTCTGTGTGCGATAAACTGATTGATTTGCTTAGTGAGGCAGTGTTGTAGGAGGTAAAGGAACTAGAGCAGATGGAGGGACACCCCTAACTGAATGTTGTTGATCAGTGAAAAAGGTGTAATTGAGGTATGGGCAACCATTCCGCATTAACATTTTAACCAATTCAATCTTATACAGCGGTTTTAAAACAGAACCAAGTTACCATGGAAACCAATTGAAGCAGAGACTTAAATTCTAAGACTGTAAATTCTTTTCTAGACAAAGATAACAAGAATGACAGGTGGGCTGTAAAAGGAAAATGAGTGCAATATAAAGTTAGGCATGATGGTCTGTTTCCTCTTCCTAAAGGTGTCTTTTATAGATCTGCTTTATCTCTACTGTTTTTTAGTTATATATATTTACTGTATTTTCAGAGGAACGCCCACCCAAATGAACATTTTGTTTTGTCATAATTCTATTTGCAAGGGGATGTAAGCACCCTGGAGAACAGAACCTAAGGGCAGGGCACTCCAGTTATTTTTCCAAATTATGATGTCTTGTCAGAATCATCAGGGAGGCAAAGCCATCACTCAGAAAACACATTTGCATAAAGTGCCCTTTGCTGCCAGTGTTTATATTTTGCTCCTGAAATATGCTCTAGGTACATTCATATTGCACAGCACTTTCTTTGTGCAATATGAAAGGAGATAACAAGGGATTAATGTGTTTTAGTGAAGAAATATCCCTTTTCACTTTCTCAAAAATTTTGGAAGTGTACCAGTTTGTTGCAATCTGATTCAAAGTCAAAATGATTTGGCATGTTAAATATTTTTCTTCATCCTAAAAGTGATGGTAAGAATAACAGAGAGTAGAGTATTCAGCCCCCAGAATTTGATGCCAGAGTTTTAAGAAGCACAATGGGCAGAGAATGAACAGCAGCAGCATACAGCCTTTGCTCTTGCAGTAGTTAGCTGTTAGCGCTGGAAAATGCATGAATATGCAATATCTTTTGAAAATTGTGCCGAATGTTTCTACCTGCTGTGCGTAATTTCAGAGTCTTCTATAATCATTAGAGAAAAACAGTTTTCAGTATAATTTTCTACTGGAACGAAGGAAGGAGAAGGGGCAAATTTGTACTTGAACTCATCCTGATACTTTTCTAGCCTGAAGTTTCCACTTCTTTGTTCCAGTTCCCAAACTATGTTTGTATATGCTCTCCTGACAAGATCTATAAAACAAATTTCCTCAGGACTTTTGGAGATTTGCTGTCACAAGTAGTCAAAGTTGGTCCCAGTGCACTAGAATCACAATAGGTAGCCACTTCTCCGGCATGTTTGCTCTAAAGCTAGCTAAATGTAATGGCTAGAGGCTCTAGCCATTGTCAAAAGTAAATGTGCTGCTTACCTTCAGCATCTGCCTTCCTCAGTACAGTGATGGTGGGGACATGACAGATGGTTCCTGCAAAAAAAAAAAATCACAGAAAACACTGTATTTTGTGTATTGCAGGTATTTCCTGGCAAATAATGAACAATTAGCATTTAATATCTTTTCTGTGAAAAGCAGAGCACCTTAATAAAGTTTGTTGTGCTCTAAGAAAATGTATGTTAAACATGCTAAAGTTAGGATGTGATGATCACAGAAATCTGCAATAAATGATACAAATGATCTTTAATCATTATGCTAATGATTACATAGCATAAGAGAATTCTGATGTTGATGTTTGTTACATGTAAAGCCTTTTGATAATAACAGTGTGAATTGTGGGACCAAATTGCTCTTATCAACCTGTGTAAGGTCATCTTTGATGCTGGGCTCTGCCCACTTTATGTCTTCAAGCCTCAGAAGCCTGCCTGTGGCAGGCAGGCTTACATAGAGGCTCATGCAGTCTTTCAGATGGAAAGACAACTATTTTTATCATTTAAAGGAAGCTCTCTTAGGTATTTCTGTACTTTCTGTCTTTGTGTAGACAACTTCTGTTGTCCTTTTCAAGAAAGTAGGTTTCCTGTGAATATAGAAATTATTTTAAAGGTACGCTTTTCATTTTAGAAGGTATGTCCTAAGAGACTGCACTTAAATTCAGTTAAAATTCTGTGGCACCCTTGCATATGCTCACATTTCAGTTTTTCTTAAACATCCCAGGGGAGTTAATTATTTTTTTGTATTTTTATGACAAAAACGTCATTTGGAGTATTTGTGATCAAATTCCCCATAATGTGTTTATAACTACCTTGGATTTAATTAAGGAATTCAGACGATTAGAAATCAGTGAATGCTGGGAATAGCAAAGTTCATAAAATAGAACAATGCAGTCTTAATTTATAAACTTTTAATGGCCTGGTTGTCCATTCAGAAGCAAAGGTGGGGAGATATAAAAGATGGAGCAATTGTTAGGAATTAGGGAAAAGTCAGGAAATAAGTTCTAGGAAAAAAAGAAAATAATGGTAAATGAAAGTAAACAGAGTAAGGATAATTCCTGCAATTGTGACCAGAATTAAAAGGTGCCTTGGATAAGATACCTTGTTTTAAACTTCCAGACTAGGCTTAAAAGTAAACACATAAATGCTCTGAAGATGTTTCTTGGACTTCCAAAGAACCACTTGCCAGATATTTATAATATATCTATGTGTTCTTGTTGCCACATTTTCAAAAAAAAAGAAATATGAACAGATTCTATGCATGCATTTCAGTTATAAGCAATGCAGAAATTTGGCGGTATTCACACATACAAACACGTTATTACTTCAGAACGTGACCCAAGTTTCTCTTTGCTTTATCTCTGTTTTTATGGAAGACAGAAGAGCAGTGAAAATAAGTCTTTCATTTACCAGTATGTAACTCATGGATATTTGTCAATGCAGGTTTCTCAATATGCAGTCTGCACTGGTTTAATATGTGACAAGGAGACGAGCAATCCATTGAGAATGGCAGTGGATAAGATGCAAATAAGCAAGAAAGAGAAATTAAGGATGAAAAGACAGAGCAGTTTGTGAAAATTCAGGTAAGGAACTCAGGTGATTCTCTATAAATTGTACAAAATCACTTGAAATATTATTGCTTATTTTCCTTTCTAGTATTTCTGAGAATTACTGCTATATGTATCCATTGATATACGTATAAACATACACACATACCCTTCTTACACCCACTCAAACAATTAATTTCCTTTTTGAGCCAAATTGCCATTACCCTCCATGCAAATACTTACTATCCTGATATTTGACATTTTTTAATAAAATCCTTTTACCATATTCCATTTTACTTTGTTTAAATAAAACATGTTACTATTTGATACAGAAAGACAAGTAATATTTGTACATAAGAGAAAAAGAGAGTTGTGCTGGGTGTCACAGTTCTTTCTCAACCACACAGCTACAAGTTCTAAAACCTTAACTTACACTATCCTAGTACAGAGCTCTTTGGGCATTACATAATGCACTGAAACAAAGCAACCACATTACAACCTCTCTCTGCCTTCTTACACTGATGGCACATAAAGTGTTCGTTTAGAGCTTTTGCTTAGTTCTCAAGCATGACCGAAGGAAAGTAAAAAAAATGTATTTACCAAGGAGCAAAGCTGCACGAACAGTGAACAACAATTCATCCTTTGCTCTTCTACTCTCTTACTGTGGGGAAAAGTTGCTTTGCCACTTGTCGTGATGCAGTGGCAGAAGTAAATGTGATGGAGAAAGTACATTATCTTTACAAGAAGTCAGGAAGGAAACTATGGAAACCATAGCTACGCAAGGCCTTTCAGCTGCTTGTGACAGAAACTCTGAACTTTTTCAATATAGCTTATTTCCAGAATGAACTGCAATTACATTTGCCACAGGTGTAAGATGAAACGATATACTCACAACTAAGCACTACATATCTATCATTTGCCTGTCTATTTTATCTGCACCTCTCCCTTCTGGTACAAAACTAAAGCCAGTGTGAGACACTGGTCTACCACCACATGCCAGCTATTAACACATGGTTTACTTGCAGGGCTTCACATTCCCAAGTGACATCAGCTTATCATATGTGTTCAGTATATCCACTAAATACAAGTCCTTGTTGACTTTAATTCTTGGGGGAATTGCTTTAGCCCACCTACAAAATGCCTATGACAATGCTTATGTTTCACGTTTGTAGAACTACACTTAATTTATTTAAATAGTGCTACCTAAATAACACATCCTGTGATTCTCAGTAACTCTACATTATTACTGTTGCATCACAGCAATTACATATGGCACACTTCATGATTTTGCAAATGTTTTGTTGATGCTAACATACTGCACTTTTTGCAGGTTGATAAGATTACCACACATTAAGACATTCTGCCACTTCCTTTGTAAGCTGTTGATTCCCAGAAAATGACAGCTGCTGCACTTTTGTTAAAAAAAATAGGAAGGTTCAGAGTATCGGCAAGGATGCCGCTAATGGGAGAAGCAGCTTCAAACAGTTGGAGATTTTAGGTGATGCAATATTCATCAGTTACAAACTTGGGAATGTCATATTGTAAAATGTACATGATAAAAGACACTCTCTGGTATTTCAACTGATTCCATTTGCCATATGGCATGTTATTATTTTGTGTTACCTTGGGGAATGTGCTAGAACGGAGAAGAAAACAGAACACTCCCAAGGTAATATAGAATACAAAGTTAATTATAACAATAGGGTCTGTAAATGAAATGGAAATGGAACTAAATACAAGAACTGAATGTGTGCTGTACTGCTCTCCAGCTACTGAAAAGCAATAAACTCCTATTAGGAAGGTTTAAACAGGAAAAAAAATTCCATCTACCGTATATACAAGTCTATAGACAGCCACAGAACGTTGACTCAGAAGTCAGTAAATACCATGTATTCACATTACCTTAATACAGTTTTACATCAGATTTCCTGGGATAGGCTGAATAAAACATTAGATCGCTAGTCTTTAAAAATGACATTCCATATGCACAGCTATAATAAAATCATCAAGTGAATGATTAGAACAGTACATTGATTGAGGGGTAGTATTTGTGAAAACAATCAAAAGAATCCTAAAGTACATAATTCTGACAACCTGATATCAGGATAAACGAGCTACTCTCAGGGCCTAGAAGATTCCCAAACAAAATCTCCAGACCCCACATTTAGAAAGGCAAAAAATATTTTAAAAGTTAGAAGAAAATTGTTATCGATGTATCCAAAACGTATACAAGATTTCAGAAAAGTAGGTGCAATAAAAAGTTATGTGGCAACATTTGCCTGTAAATTCAATTCTTCCCAAGCCAGTAAATTGAGCTTTACCCCTTCCACCCTCCAGGGCCATCTTTGGAGGTACAGTCTGAAGCAAATTCCAACCAAGGTCATATTATTCTCTGCGACCTATTTTTCAGTCATTGTTAAAACAGTAAAAGACAGATTTTATGTTAGCAAATAATGAAAATATACAGGCTTGCAGGTTTTTTTGAATAGTTTGGCTCTAAACACCATACGCCATTAGATGAGGCATTTCAAGATCTATTACAGGAGCAGAATATTTTTAAATTGTTTATGCTAACTGTGCAATACTTCAGATGGCATCTTCAAAGCTATCATCTATTCAAATGCTCAGAATAAGCAGCCAAAATACAGAAGAGTTCCTTTTAGCTAGATCTTTAGTAGGATTAAATTGGACAAATTCTAATAACTCCCAGTATTTCTTATTATGTATTTTGATTTCCTGCAAGTTTTATCAGCTATTAGAAAGATAACTTTTTTAATCAGTCATCTGAAAGACTCAATGTCATTTAAAGGAAACACAACCTCCCCGTTAAATAAATAGGGGACCAAGATTGTATGGCTCTTGTAAGCTTCTCTCTCTCTGTACTAAGCAAAACCCACGGGAAAACAGTTTACCAGTCTTGAGGTTTCTGCACTGTTTGCTCTGTAAGGTTAATGCTATGCTGTAACCACGTGCAGCCTGGTGCTGGCAGGAGAGGCTGCGCTGCAATTGGTGTGCAAATTAGTGCATACATTTTCACTTCTCAGCTAATGCTAACACCAACTAAAGATACTTTTCCCACTGTGTTATTAAAACCTTTGAAATTTTCACACGTTTTGACCTGAGTACCACTCATGCTTATTCCATACATAATCTGTTTCAGTCACCAGAACAGGTTGATGTAAAAATGGCTGATGTCATGAACTGAGTTAATACTCAGAAATAAGATAGGGGATGGATGAAAGAATGGATGGATGGAAGAAAGAGAGAGAAGGAGGGAGGGAGGGAGAGAGAGAGGGAAGCAGAAATCAGTTATCACTGTTTGTCCATGTTAAAAGGAATCTTGAGTATGTGTTAACTGACAGCTCAGGTTAGAAGACTCTACCTTGTAAACATACTTGCTGAATTCGCAAATATTTGTCTACCAGTATATTCTTTAAAGGAGAGCTCTGCTATATTACAAGAGTAGAGTAATGTTTGTGTATTTTTTCCTATAGGA